ATGGAATGTGCTGCCCTGGCCGGTTTGGCCCAGTGGAGAGAGCGTCAGCCTGCGGACCGAAGGGTCCCGGGTTCAGTTCTGGTCAAGGGCTTGTACCTTGGTTGCAGGCTCCTCCCTAGCCCAGGCCCTGGTCAGGGCTCATGCAGGAGGCGCCCAATCGATATGTTTCTCTCACATCGGTGTTTCTCTCTGTCTTTCCCTCTGTCTTCCACTCTCTCTAAAAATCAATGGAAAAATATCCTCAGGTGAGGATAAAAAGAAAAAAAATTGTCGATAAAAGGAAAACGGGCATCTGTGCGGACTGGGCATGGCGAAGGCCCAGGTCGCTGTGGCTGCTGCGATGAGCGAAATCCTCGCCCGAGGGCTGGATGGAAGCCAGGCTCCTACTTCCCCAAAGCCCTTCCATCTCCCCCAAGTCTTTGCAAGTCATTGAGTTTGCACACACCCTGAGCACCTGCTGTATACACGGCAGAGGGAGCTGAGAGGGACCAGAAAGGGATCTGGGGTTTCACACCCCTCAGGCCTGTCTCACCCCCAGGAGAAGGCGCCCTCAGAGAACAGAGCCACACCCACCCTGGCCCAGAGCCAATGAGAGGGGACAGGGGACCGCCACAGCTCTCCAGGTTGTCAGACCTCAGGACCAGGGACAGGGACAGGGACAGGGACAGGGACAGGGGACAGCCACAGCTCTCCAGGTCATTAAACCTGAGGACTAGGGACAGGGACAGGGACAGGGGACAGCCACAGCTCTCCAGGTCATTAAACCTGAGGACTAGGGACAGGGACAGGGACAGGGGACAGCCACAGCTCTCCAGGTCATGAAACCTGAGGACAAGGGACAGGGACAGGGACAGGGGACAGCCACAGCTCTCCAGGTCATTAAACCTGAGGACAAGGGACAGGGACAGGAGACAGGGGACAACCACAGCTCTCCAGGTCATCAGACCTGAGGAACAGAGCCAGCCTCCAGCCACTGTCCTCAGGGGACTCAGGGGAGACCGGGTCGAGGGATTCTTGGGAGCAGAAAACAACACACAAAACCCGGGTTCTGCGGATGAATCTAAGGGTCCCCTCTCCCTGCCTGATGCTCTGGAGCAGGTGGACGCTGGTAAGTAGAGAGTAACAATAATAGACTCAATTGTCGAGGGTTGATTCTGTGCGGAGGGTCCCCTCCCCACTGGCCGGCTCCTGGCAGTCAGGATGCAAACCCAGCAGAGGAGGAGCCTGGGCCCCGCTGGCAGCCAGGGGCTGAGGTCGAGGACTCCCAGGGAGAAGGGGCCCCACGCCCTTTCCTCGGGGCTGTGCGGAGGCCGCACACCTTCCCACATCTCCAGGCTGCGACCCTGCGGTGGTGATACCAGCCAGCTCCCCCTCAATACCCAGGAATTTAAAAGCCACAAATATGTCAAGAGCAGGCCTCACCCCCAATTGTGCCTGTGCCAACCGGCCCAGCCCATCCCTGGCCCAGCCCATCCCCGGCCCAGACTCAAGGGGCACAGGCTCACTCGCTCACACATGACAAAAAGGAACCACGCCAGGATTCCCGGACACACCCGATGCCTCCCTCCTCTCTGACCAAAACAGGAGATGTCGACACTCCCCAAGTGTGTTTTACCGGAAGAACCTCAACCTCCCACCTGCTCCTTCCCTTTCCATTTCTGGGCTCTGACAGAAGCCCCATCTCCATTTATTTTTGTTGTTTTTTTTAAAATATATATATATTTATTGATTTCAGAGAGGAAGAGAGAGGGATAGATTAGAAATAACAATGATGAGAATCATTGATTGGCTGCCTCCTGCACACCCCCTACTAGGGACCTAGCCTGCAGCCTGGGCAGGTGCCCTTGACCAGAATTGAACCCAGGACCCTTCAGTCCCAGGCCCAACGCTCTATCCACTGAGCCAAACCAGCCAGGGCCCCATCTCCATTTCTGGGAACAAGGGACCAAAACATCCACAAGGTGCCGTGTCCGGGTGGAGGGGGCACCCCGAGCAGAGGACAGGTGGTCCTACTGTGCTGCTCCACCCCCATCTCCCGGGCCCCCATCTCAGAGCTTTGCCCGCGGCCCAGGGCCTGAGACTGGAGAGGGGCCGGGACAGCCTGGGAACATTGCTGAGGCCGGGGCTGGGCTGGGGCTCAGGACGGCAGACCTGACACCTGCTACAGAGCAGCCTGGCCCTGACTCCAGACACATCCAGATCATCCACCCCAGGCCCAGAGCGACGGGGCAGAGTGGGCCCGCCTGGCGCTCTGACCTCAGCCTGGGCTTCCCCGGG